CCGCCAGAAATAACGTCTAAGGCACAGAGCCCTAGGGCCGGCGGCTTGGTGCTGCTGTCGAATAGCTGTAACGGACGGCCCGGTTCCCAATTTAGAACTGCTGTTAAGCGCCCAGGGATATCAAGCATCAGGACTAGCAGCCAATCATGGCGCTGGGACGAGAGTTTTCACAACCTTCATCCAACATATCACAGCTTGATCACACTTGATAGGCTTACGCCAAGTGTGATGTCAAGGAAGTCAATGCAAGGGCGGCAGAAGAGTGTTGGCCAAGGGAGGCCATGTAAATCCTGGTTTGCGCGAGGACGTCAGGGGTGGCCATGTCGAGTATTTTGCAGGCCGCCTACACTGTCAGGCACAGGATTGGGTATCCCATGAGGTATTCATGGATTTTCGGCCATGATGGTTGATTTTGCGCATGAGTATACCAGGAGTTAGGTAACTAAAGGAGTTACCGCGATCTCGGGTGTCCTTTGTTCCTTGTCGATTCCATGTCAAGTCCTGAAGAATGAGCGACAGCAGAGCGAATGTTATCAACGATCGTGAAACTCTTCTCGTTTGACCGACTCTCGTAGCCAGTCAATGAATAATTTCTGCCTCTGTTTGAGACAAGTAACTAGTAGTTGGCTAGTTTAGCGGTCGAACGGGTTATTCTATTTTTGCTTCCCTGAGTCTCACCCCTTATGCATGGCCTTCATTTCACCGTGATACTTAGTCGTCAATCATAGGTGAACGAAGACGTTAAAGAATACTCTGTATTGATATTAGACATAATCCACAGGTGATCATGATCCCAACCGCCCAAACGTCATATATACATGCAATGCAAAAGCACAAGAGGAATAAAAATAGCATAAATGATACACATATGCATGCATGCCCCTTTGCTCCAGCAATAAAACCACCAAATGTCCAAAATCCAAACACATTAGTTAATATATCCAGAAATAAATTAATAATTCTCCGGCAAATCACCAAAATCAGGAATATCGTCACCACATTTGAACTCCGGTTCATATGCTTTGGCAGGTAATATACCTGCTGCCATCCCCTTCTTCCAACTCCACTGGGCAGCTGACTCGCTGTCCCAGGTCCAGTAAAACCAGCCCCAGCCTTTTTCAAAGGCGGAAATCTGAGCTTCAGCATATAGCCTGAGCCATTTCTTGTAAGAATCTGAGTATTGTGATGGGTCTGCATTTGCTGCATCACAGGAACATTGTTTGCCGCTGGGACAAGATGGTGTGAGGACAGGATCCCCACCGATGGGGTTTTTGTCCATTGTGCCTGTCCAGCGAGACCCGACCCCAACGCTGTTGATGTAGATTGTACAGTCGGTGTCAGCCTGCGACCACTCACCGCAAATAGTCGGACCATACCTATGCAGTGTCAGAGATTGCGTGAAAAAAGTCAGATATTAGGCATTGTATATATTACTTACCCACTTCCTTTTGTGCTGCTCTTTGTGATTAAATCAACCCAGCTATCGCAAACAAATTCAAGCTTCTTCTTGTGAGTCAGTTTGATCAGGTCGGCGTTGAAGATGGTGTACTGGTGTGTATCTATAATTAAGTCATGGCCAGTATTTTGCAATATACTCGACCATTTCGATAGCTTCAGGAAGCCATCTCCAAAAACAATTTTCTGCTTCATTCCATTCCCGCCGACAATATCAGCAGCTTTGGTGGTCCAATCCAAAACAGGTTCGATGTCCAACTTTAACATCATCGGTTCGTTTGCGAGACCATATAGAGCAATGACATTCTTATATCGAGGCTGAGCAAAGAATTTAGATAGTTGGTCGTGTAGGTCAAGTGCTCTTTGGCCCCATTTAGCGCCATCATCACCATTGAGCCACTTTATCTCGCCCTGACGGCCTGAGTGGTTCCATCCGTTCTGGCTCCCCGGAACGCCGTGTAGGTCCAGGTTCACGCGTAAGCCGAATTTCCTGCAATACTCAATGGCTCGCAAGAGATATCGCCAGCCCATCTTAGCGAAGTAAGGATCACCATCGTAGGTTGTCACTACCCAGTATCCGTATGGTATTCGAACATGGTCAAATCCAGCATCACGAATCTCTTTGAACGACTGCTCATTTACGAATGTAGCGTAGTGTTTTTCTAACGTTGGTTTTCCCGCATTCCCCAGTCGTTTAGTAAGGGTATATTCGTCCACAACGTTATCTCGTGCAGAATATCGCTGGAAAAAAGACGGGGTAATGAACGGCTCCATGGAAAGCCAGCCACCGAGATTCACACCTCGTATAGGCTGTTTACCGTAGGGAAACGGTTTGTCCAAGGCTGGAACCTTCTCATTTGCTTGGGCAGAGTCGTCCCAAGTAGAATTTAGACCCATGATAGGTAGACCGCCAACGGTTTCGTCAGTATATGTGACATTGAAATCGGCTGTGTCATACCATGAAAACGGATCTAGATGGGTCCCTTTTGCATCAGGCTATAATATGTATTAGTATTACTTTTGAATGGAGGGAGAGGATAAACACATACCGGTATAGAATCAGGACTTATCCCATCAAGTTCACTGTGAGATGGACCAGTAGTTACAGGGCCATCAGGGTGTTTCCCGCCGCCGCCGTTCTTCTTCGACACTATTATGGCGACGGCAATGATAATCGCAAGCAGAAGAAGACACACTCCGACCACAACGATAATCTTTTTCCTCTTGGACCAGTTCCGAAAACAACCGTTGCCAGCACTGCCCTCTTCTTCATAATCGTAGCCATCACTGAAATAGTAGTCATCTCCTCCACCACCTCCACCTCCGCCATGATACTTCTCGGTGCGACGTCTTCCACCTCCTCTAGTTCTTAATTCGGGACTTCTCCCTTCTTCCAAATAAGCGCCAGAAACAAGCCTTTTCTTTTCCTTTTCTCTGTCTTTCTCCCTCCTTTTCTTTCTTTGTATGTCTCCTGAGCTTTCCCAGCCCTTCTCCCTCTCCTTCTCACTATCTCCGGCAAACCCGCTTTCAAAAATGTATTTCTTCTTCTTCTTTTCTTTCTTTTGCTGCTTGATTTCCTCCTTTCGAGCCTTCTTTTTCATGTCCTCGTCTGCTTTGCGGTTTAACTGGTCGAGCTGCGCCAGCGCATCAGAGCTAAGTAGCACAGTCGCACTGTTCGCAGAGTCGTTGCTGGTATGCTTCTCCCGTCGTCCATGCCGTCTCGTGTCCCTGTCATGATGTTCACGCTCCTGGTCCGTGTCATAACCCCTTCTCCTTCGGTCTCTTAATCTTCTATCACCACCTTCGTCAGCGGTGCTATCCCTTCTAGGCCGATGCCTGTTATGCCCTTCCCGGTCCCGTTCGCGATCCCGTTTCTTAGGCGAGGTGGCAGGTGACTCTTTCGCTTTATGCCCGGCTCTGGGACTTGGATAATGCGAATGCCTTTCTCCGTCCCGATCTCTTTCGCGCCTGTTAGCGCGAGGAGAATGGTTTGCGTTCGGCGGCCGCGCAAAAATCGGCCTCGAGTCAACTATATCCTCACTTTCGGTCGCACTATCCCACGCAACACGTTCATCGCGCGTTCGCACTCGATCTCTGTGCTGTCTATCTCTGGACGGCCTGTGTTCTCTCTTCCTACTTCTATGTCTCCTATCATCAAATACATCATCTTCATCTTGTGTATGTACACCTTCATCCGCGGCGTGGGCGCCCCGATACCCACTTCTTCTCGTTTTGCGTTCTCTTGCCCTGCTTTCTCGTCGTTTTCTATAAGCACGGTCATAGCCATCCGAATCGTCGCGGTCGTAGGTATAATCGTATTGAAGGTCATCGCTATGATGGCGGCCTCGAGACCGATGAGGTGGGTGCGGCGAATGGCGTGTGCCACTCATGGGAAGGCAGCACTATTGAACAAGGCTAAAGGGCTAGATATGATGAAGTTGCGTTCGTCGAATGGTGGAATATGTGGCCGTCACAATGAAAATCGTAGCACGTTAACGCTTAACGGGGGTAAGGGGACGTTGGATGATAGGAGGTTGACATCAGATGGGACAGCCTAATGCATTGTCAGTATTCGCCGGTATACCCGTGGATATCCTGGGCATCCATACCTTGGACTGTCATGTATATATATCAACCGCCCGTCTGTCTGTCGGTGTTGTTTGTTTATGTCGTGCAGGAATGCAGAAAAGTTTACGGTTCGGCCCTTGGCGCGTGTCCCTGGCGGCAGCGCGGCTAAAATGGACGACAGGTACCCGCGCCGATAAGCGCAGTCAATGTTTGATATGTTTCTACGTGCTATCAAGGTTAGCAATTCGAGAGGCGAACGGCTTGATAAAACAGGGACATGAAGTGAGGAGATATTATTCGTATTTTTATCAGTCTCGCTAGCGCTATCGTTAGGTAAGGTATATGTGGCAGAGTAACTATGTAGACAAGTATGTGGGCAGTATCGAAAGAGCCAACAGCCATGTCCAGGATCGATTTATCAAGGGAAGAGGGAGCATAAAAAAGAACCACCAAGACAGTGTACGAATAGGAAATAACAAGCCCAGCTCACAAATGCAACAAGCACAGCAAACGTAACGCATAGCATCGCATATGAAAAGAGGGAATCAAAAGAAATGGAGAAGAAAGAGAAACAAACAATGCTCCCAAATTGAAGTCGAGACAAAAGTCAAAAAAACATCCCGTGTAGATGGACAAATACATGAACGGACAGACTGGGTGGGCGGTTTTATTAGCTCTCGAACTGAGATAAGAGAGAGGAAATGGGGGGTTCAATATATGAGGTATCAATGAACTAACGCTGGCGAAGCAAAGCGTAGCGAAATAGGGCTGAAGGGGAAGAAAAAAAGAGGAGGCAAAGAGGTGAAAAGAAAACGCCATCCAGCAGTCCGTCTATGATGAAGAAAGAACTAAAGGAGATACCAAAGGGGAGTATTAAAAAGGAAACTGGGAATAGAAAATGTCGGGTAAGAAATCCATCGCGTCGTATCCTCGCACCTTCACCAAGTAATGGCACATCACATTGTTATTGAGCTAGGTCAGCCGGAGATAACAACTCGCGCACCCTCCTTGCCTAGTACTCCACGCTCGGAGGGTTTCGGGCTTCTCTCCCGGCCCTTCTTCCGGCTGAAGAAAGAGAACATCCCGCCGGAGGTATTGCCATAGGCACCGGTTGTAGATCCGGTTCCATTTGGTAGACTGTTGCCGTTCACATTGTTTGGGAGTGCATCCCCGTTAGTGGTCTGATCAGCCAGTCCGGACCAACTGCCTGTCTCCTCGAGAACCATTTGGACACCTCCAGATTTACTCCGGTTTCGGGTCGCACCGCGAGGTTGGGGTTGAGACAGTTGAGCCGGCGGTGGCGGAGGCGGGGAGAACTGTGGAACGCCTTGGTTGGTCGAGGCGATGGTATGAGAACGGTTAGCGTGGCGTTGGGACGGGAGCGAAGGGGGACCGGGAGGAGGTTGGGTTGGAGGAGAGCGAGAGAGGGCGCCGCCGCGATCAGAGGATGGGGAACCAGGGTTTACACTATCGACTGGTACATTATTCTGGCCATGTGCGTCGGAAGCGGTAGATCGGTAGGATTTTTCTGTCCTAGTTGACTTGTCTGTTCGGGTCGACCGATCTGTTCGGACCGATGGCGAGGAGGAGCCTGAGCGACCCTGGGAATTGGTATGCCGGTGTCGACGTCGCTGGCTCGGCGATGTTGTCAAGTTGAGGCAGTCTTCGGGGTTAGCAGAGGCGGCGATGGCTGCCGCAGCAGTGGTTTCATAATTCATCGTTGTGTAATCAAAAGGTTCGAACATGGTTTCTATGATACGGTGAAGCTCATCCTCTCGGATTTCTTTGGCCGTAGCATCGTCCTTGAGTTCAGCGCGGGGTTTCTGGCGGCGGGCACGCGCTTCCAACGGTGCCTCCTCCAGCAGAAGTTCTTCGAGATCGTATGTAGCGTCAAAGTTAGTCTTGTCACTGGACGGCACGAAGACTGGTTCAATCTCCTTTCTTTGGAGGGCATCAAAGTCGATAGGAGCGAAGAAGGCGTGAGTAGTGAATGATTCAAAGTTCATGGCACCAATGCGTTTCGTCGGATCCTTTTCTAATAATGCACTGAGGGCATGGAGACATGGGACAGTAACAGCAGGGTTTGTGACGTAGTACTTGGGTTGAGTGCGCATGATAGCTTCGCTGAGAGAACTATGGCTTCGGCCATCGAAGGGTCGTTTACTGTAGATGCATTCGTAGAAAGTTACGCCGAGCGACCACCAGTCAACATTCGATAGGTATCCTCCTCCTTGGAAGACTTCAGGAGCGAGGTATGCCATTGTTCCGGACCTGCTTGTAAGTGGCTTCGAGGGTTTGAAGTCCGAGGCGACATTCTAACTTCGAATTAGGATATTGCCTTGTCTTGAGGTTTGCATAGGTGACTTACAAAATCAGCGAGATGAACGTGGCCTTCAGAATCCAGTAGTATGTTGTCTGGCTTGACGTCCCGATGCACAATGCCCTGTCCGTGAATATAGTGTAGAGCGCACGCAAGCTCGGCCATCCAGAATCGAATTGCCTCTTCGGTGAAACATTTTCTCGATATATGGAAACGAAGGTCACCGCCGTTCATGAGGTCGACAACGATGTATCTAGAGATTGTTAGAATGACGATAATCATTGAGATAATCGATACACCATCTATGTTCGCTCAACATACATGTACTCCATATCCTGGAAGCTGTATCTCAAGTTGCAGAGAAAGGGGTGGTTAAGATGTTCGAGCATGCGCCGCTCGCGAATAATGTTCCGCACGCTCTCCGACCGGACGACTGGTTAATGCAGTGAGTATATGACGTTGATTCCGTAGAAGGTGGAAAAAGGAGAGCTTACCTTCATCTTTTCTGATATATTTCAGGGCAAAAGTAAGACCAGTATCTTTCCGCTCGACGATGCGAACCTTTCCAAAAGCGCCTTTTCCCACGACACGAAGTAGCCTGAACTGGTTTAAATTGACTAACAGAGAAAACGAGTATTAACCTACACGTCTGCGGCAGTAGGAACGATGAAAACACATACCTGGGTGATCTGGAGAAGAGAGCTTGCCCTGAGAATTACCCATCTCAGCCGCAGCAGCCGCTGTGCGCGTTCGATTGGATTAAGGAGTCAAACCCGCTCTGCATCGACAGATAAGAAGGCAGAAAAAAGTGGTAGCTAAGCTGGGCAGAATTGCTTTGACGTCCGAGTTCGGGGAGCAGCGTCTGTTGAAAGGGGAATGGTCGTTGGAAGAACTCGACGAAGTGAGCGTAATGATTGATGATGATGATGATGATGATGGAGGAGGAGGAGAGTCGGTAGCCAGGAAGGCTAGAGGCCGTTGTTAGTGCCAGACTTTTTGGTGGAGGTACGTGTGTCCGAGAACGAATCTGAAACGCAGAAGGGAGCCGTGTGGATGATTTTCTTTTTGCCCTTCTGGCATGGAATGACGAGAAGCAAGTGAGAGTGTGATTGGGGAGGAAGGGAGAGGAGAGTGGACCGGGCCCAGGACGGAAGCAAGCCAACTCGTCCCAGATACTGGATACTCGCCCGTTAGGGTTGAGTTGTAGGGATGTTACCTCTTCAATATCAGCGCATGGGTGCCTGTCTGGTCCTCTCTGATGCTTCTTCCCTTTTCTCCTGCGTGAGGCTGGAGGGATAAGAAGACGCTTGAAGGATCTGGCGAGCGGCGAGGCTGGTTGGGTGGTTTAAGCAGGGTCAGGGCGGGCGAAACTCCGCAGATCCAGCCGTTTTCTGGTGGCCGTATTATCCGTATCTTCCGTGACAAGGTCGTATACTCGAACTTCGCCGTCCGGGCTCGACGTGCGAAGTAGTAAAGTAGCTATGGAGTCAACTGCAGCGTGCAGGAAGTGTCGAAGTCGTGTGTTGTTTCTCAGCGTTGAACAAGCACGAGTGAGGTTGAAATTGAGGTTGAGGTTGAGGTTGAGGTTTGACGCTTATTATTATTTTATTATCCTGTTGTCGTTACGGGAAGGAGCGAACCTCAGGTTTCGCTCTTGACGCCTTTTTTTTTTATTTCCTTCACAGTATTCCACGTGGAACTTCCCCTTTCGGACATGCGCTTATTTCTTTTTTTTCTTATTTGCAGAAAAAGAAAAAGAAAAGAAAATCAGAAAGCTTAAAAGAGGAAGGAGCGCCGATCTTGTCTGGTTCAGGAACAGACAGGTCACATGTTAAGTCACGTGGACTCACATGATATACGCCAGGCGAACCCAGGGCGCCAAGCCGTCCTCACCGCCCTGGGCCGTCCTGCCGCCGCCCGCCGCCCTCGTGGCGCCACGTGAATTGCTGACTAAGGTGGCAGAATCCCGGCATTTTGCGACTGGGAAGGCCAGCGAAAGCAGGACAAGCAGGACAGGCAGCACAGGCAGGACAAGCAGGAGAACACCAAACACGCCTCGAAGGGGACATCCACGGCGCGGACCAGGAAGACGGGGGCCGATGAGATGGCGCTAGGTCGTGGAGAAACATGGGGAGACGGGAGCGCGGATTTAATTCAGAGTCCTCCGTCTGAGAAGCTGAACTATATCTGCTAACACAGCGATCAACAGTGGTACACACCCACCCACCAACAGATGCCGAACCCATCCCTTGTAAGGCTCAGCAAGGCCCTTGATCGCCGACTTCGAAAAAGCCAAACTCGCCTGTTCTAGGCTAGTCCGGTTTTTTAAGCTTACTTTTCTAGTGTGTCCAACTCTGGGGCCCAGAGAACCACCTCCCCCTTTTTTCAGGCCCATACTTATTATTATCTCTCGGGCATCATTTCGGATATTTTACTTATAGGACTGACTTTTATATACGCTCTGCTGAAAGTGCTCTGAACTGAATTCTCCCTGGCGGCAAGCCATCCAAGTACGTGCATGTCCGCGCGTCCCGAGCCATATCCGTAGCTCACTCGAACTGGTGAAGGGGGAAAAAGCAAGCATCAGACAACAAGCCAGCCAGCCAACCAAGGGCGCCAACTGACGTTCGCCACGATCAACCACACCACTCTTTCCTGGTTATTATTGTCATGTTTCTTTTTTTTTTTTTTTTCCGTCTCTACCTGTTTTGGTGTCTGTTATTGTGGACTTGGTGACAGAGCTGACAGGTCCTCGCGCACACTCGGTGTCAGGACAGAACCACTCTTTCAATATTATTACTCCTCAGCGAGTCATGCTAGCCAGCTCGCCGACCAGATTGTATTAACTTCAATAATCGACGATCGATCGATGACGCGATCGATAGAGCGATGCACGTTGAAAATAGAGACCTTACTATAAGTGTCAAAACGACAGTGCTGACGGCAACAGAGCCGGCGCTCCGCCCACCAAACAGGGCATCTGGAGAACATCTGCGGAGTGCAGAGCCGGTTCTTCGTCTATCCGTTATGTATCAACTATGGAATACGGAGTGCTGGCCTGGTTTCTTCTCTTCCACGGTGTGTCCGATGGCAAGAAGTTCAATCAAGGTTGCTCGCCATTAGCGTATCATGTGATCTGCTGACAAAACGACTCCTTTTCCCCGGTTCGCCAGCAGCCAAAAATAGGGGGGGCCGCCCTGGAAAGAGAACCGACAACGCCTGGCTTCTATATAGCGATACGCTCACAGTCAATATCAATATGCTCCTCGAACTCGTTGCGGTGTCAAAAAACTGAGTGTCAAGAAGAATCCTCCGCGGCTAGATGGATAAATACGAGCAGCCTCAACTCAATTCTTTTCCCTCGCCTCTTTCTTTGTCCATGTCTCTCGGCATTTTTGTTGCTTGGCCAAAAGGGTCCCGGCCTATGCCTGCTTCGGCATGGTGAAACACGGATGTTCACTTCCTGGCGGCCAGCCACAGGGTGTCGATGGGCTATTCTAGGAACCGGTAGGGATGCTCAATCTGGTACCCTTTTCCCGGCTGTCTTGTCTTTTTTTTTTTTTTTTTTTTTTGGCTCGAAATATCACCTTGCCTGAAGTGCTTGGCCATGGCTTCTGTGCGAGGATGGACCCTGCCGGTTGATAGGAGCTAAGTAGAGGCGAGCTGGCCTGGTTCCGCTGTGTTTCGGCGGAACACACCTTGTACAGAGGGCGCAAGAATATGTTAAACCATCGCGTTTGATCGCTCACAGCTTGACCAGTCATATCATTATGGGACAGAACTACAATATGAGCGGCGCAGCTAAGAAAAAAGAAAGCTGAACATGAAACACTCCCTGCATCTGAATTTGAGCTGTCCTCTCACTTAGCTCAGATTCAGCATTATTGCTCGACATGAAACGGAATCAAGCAGGTGTCATATCTGCCGACGGTGCTATGCATGGGCGGCAGAGAAATTTCCAGCCTGTTGGACAGGAGTACCAACACATAAGTATGCATTTCTTTCACTATGCATGCACATGTACGGAGTACTCCGTATATGTATACTCAGGTATACATATATCCATGCATCTAGCCTTTTTTTTTTTTCATTTCATTCTATAGGTTATCCCAGTCTTAGGCAGAAATCGGACGGATGGGAATTTACACGTGGAGGCGAGACCCTTCCTCCACGTGTTGCAGGATTTTCTAGAAAGATGGAAGGAATATTCGTTTGTTGTTCTTTTTCTCCTCGATCCTAGTTTGGGTACTCGACTCAAAGAACTGGCACAGGCCAAGGCCCTCCTTGGTGAAAGATGCGCGATTATTGCCCTGTCAAGGCTGGTTGGCCTTACGATGCTGACAGCCGAAATGATGATGGATGCAATAACCCTGTAGTTCCATTTTTATGAAAAGGAGATATATGCACTCAACCATTATTATTGCGCATATGCTTAGATGTATGAACATGACATAACATGACCTCAAGGTATGGATGGAGTCATATCACCCACATTTCCCCGTAGCCCTACCATCGACGCCCATAGATGGGGTCCTCCCTCTTTGAGCCGGCGCTCGCCTTGCGCTCCATAACCGGCGGCGTGGCTCGCTTCCCGCTTCCCCCTTTCCCATAGCCACCGGCTGTCTGAGCCTGATAGCCTGGCGTCGCCATCTCCTTCGAGTCAAGAAGCTTATTACTCTTTGTCGTAAAGCTTAACTTGCCATCGTCCCATGACCGTGACTCCGCATCTCGACCAAAAAGGGCCAACATATCTTTCATTGTCAGCTTGCCGGCCGCAGATTTACCCTCAATAGTAGACTTGGCTAGTTCGCGCTTGCGTTCTTGGAGCTCAAGTATACGCTCCTCCACCGTGCCCTTGATTGTCAATTTGTACACTTTGACATCAACCGTTTGGTTCAGGCGGTGGACACGGTCGATGGCCTGTTCTTCCACAAACTACAAAAAGATGATGACGTTAGACTTGGGGCAATTCTAAGAATAGAAATATGGGGTTGTCAGGACACATAAACTTACTGGGTTCCAGAAAGGCTCGAGGATCACGACTCTGCTTGCGGCCGTTAGGTTCAGCCCCAATGATCCTGCGCGTAAACTACAAAGTAGTACTCGGGTGCCGCTTGAGTTCCGGAGTCGGTTCAAACTCGCTTCTCGAAGGTCGTTTCTCATACCGCCGTCGTATCGGGCATAGCCGATACCTCCGTTTTTCAGGAAGGGCTCGATTTTATCAAGCATAGAGGTAAAAACCGAAAAGACAATGAACTTGAACTGACCGGATTCTCGTTTGAGAACCCTCATTAGATGTCGTATTTTGGCCGAGGTCTGGACATCATGGATGACATCGGACGTGGGCTGAGATAAACCAGCCTCGTCTTCATCCTCATCCTCGTCAGTTGCTAACTCAGTGGCATCTTCCTCTTCTTCATCCTCATCCGTGTCAGAATCCTCAGACCCAATCCACTCCCCTCCCCCGTCAGCATCTTCGCCGTCAGATCCCACAGGGGCGGTAAGGTTTTCAGAGCCACGTTGTTCCTCAGGAACAATCCATTCTCCATCCTCATCCTCATCGTCACTATCAATAATAATAGGTCTGGCCCGGCGGCTCCTTGCTCGCTGGGACTCTTTCTCCACTTTGGCTTCCACGGGCTCTGGCTTTGACCTTGACTTAGTCTTCTTTTTCTTGTGCTTGGGCTGTTTCTCCGTAACGACCGTGCTGATAACTTGGGCCTTCAAGTCTTCTTCGCATTCACCACAGCGAGCTGCGCCACCAAGGGTCTCGTCTTTGCTCAACTCAATCTGACACACATCACATCTCTTAGTAGCCATACTCAGCCCACCGAGCATATCGGCAATATTGTCAATATCATTGTCTTTATTCTTGCCCTGGGTATCATCACCCATCAGGGCATCTTGCTCTTTGGCAAGTTCACCCTTGACTAGGTCAGGATGGTTACAGGCCTGACGCAGCCTGAGAAGCAAAACCAATGCCCCAGCATAGCTTATATTCTGACCACCAATCATTCTCTCTAAGCTCCTGTCCGCACGTTGTTCGAGTCTCTGGTAAAATGCCCATTCTTCGGGACTAAACTCAGCCTCGATCTTAACAATGTCTCGCTTCACAATTTTGAAACCTTCAGAGGGTCCTTGCTTTTGGTCATTACTCAGTTCCTCCCCATTGGGGTCCTCAGTGTCCGGTTTTGAATCCAGTTTTAAAACATCCTTCGTACGTCTCTTCATGAATGCTTTGAGGTATACTTGGAGACGGCGAAGTGCCAATCCACCCCGGCCATTGCTCATAGGCCGAGTGATTTGCTCTCTCCAAGCAGCCAACTCGTCATACGGCTTGATCCGCAAGAATCTGATCAAGCTTTGTAACTCGTCTAAGTTATTCTGCAGTGGAGTTCCGGTAAGACACCATCTATACTGCGAATTTAATGCATAGACGGCTTGTGTGGCTTTAGCATTTCGATTCTTAATTGTGTGTGCTTCATCGAGTACAATCCGATACCAGTGGACCCCGAAACATCCATCGCTTTTTCCGTGCTCGGAACTGAGTGTTCCATACGTTGTAATCACAACGTCAAAGCTGTCCAGGTCGTCCCTGTGTTTTGTGCGTCCAGTGCCGTGATATACGCAAACACTTAAACGGTGAGATCGCTCGATTTTGGATTCAATTTCGCTTTCCCATTGCTTTATCAAGGCAAGTGGAGCTACAACAAGTGTGCTTTTCGAGACATTTGCGGGTATCTTGGATTTATCCTTCTTCTCCTTCCCTTTCTCAGATATTTCTTCCTTACCCTCCGGCTTCACTGGGGGCCGGGGGTTAGTGAGCAGTAGTGCAATGGTCTGAACAGTTTTACCAAGACCCATGTCATCAGCAAGGATACCGCCTTTCGGCAGCACGCCTCTAGTCTTTTTAAGCCCACTCTCTTTATCCTTCATCCATGCCACTCCGTCGATCTGATGAGGTAAAAGTTTGACCTTCAAACCTTCCACGGTTCCATCATCTTCCTCTTCCTCTTCCTCCTCCACTTCCTCGACTTCTTTATCTCCTGATTTTTTGTTTCCGCCGTTCTCATTCACCTTGACCCCCATGAGCTTGTCAGCTAGTTCATCAACTTGCTTTTCGATCTTTTTCTTGCGTGACCTGGTCCGAGGCTTATCATCTTCATCCTCAAACGCACCCTCAAGCAACGCTTTGATGTTTTCGTTGGCTTTCTCACTGTCAATGTAGGAATATGCGTCTGCTGAACCAACTATTTCATCTCGAAAACTGTTGTTGCTGCTTCCATACCCAACATCAGGCGTGGTAAGGTCCATGAAATTCTTTAGGGTGCTGGCTGCCTTGCCCATTTTTGGGGCTGAGGGCTTTGAGGTGAACATTGGCTCTGGTGTCCGCCAAGTAGTCCGATCAGCATTCGTAGGCTTCATTATTTCTACCACACTATCATCGTCAGGTATTGTTATGGTAGAACGGCTTTTGAAAGAAGATGGCTTCGTAGCCTGATATGGGTTGAACGCTCGCTTATCATTTTCCTTTGACGCGTTATCATTCAAGGTCGAGCTAGGCGCGGGACGGTGATGTTCAGGACGAGGTCTGTTGCTTTTTGGAATCACAAATGGATGACGCTGGTTTGCACTCATAGACCCAAGCGGTGACGGCCTTCCAAATTCTACTTGCTTTGGATGCTGTGTCTTCTTTCCTTCCGCTCCGGGTATGGAGGGGATCTTTGAAGGCTCTCGCTCTTTCACCATCTTATATTCCAGTCAAGTTATAAGTAAATATCAATCAGGATTTATCGTGATCTACCTCCCTATTGGAATGTTAGATTCTGATTTTTTGTTGCTTAGATTTTAATATGGCTTACCTTCAGTCTATTAGCGCGATTCCTCCCAAACTAACCATGCAATATTATGGGATTGCGGGGAATCTGAGGCGGGATCAAAGACAAGAAATAACATTCACGCTAACAACCAAGGTGAAGAAAATAGTTGCTACCATGGCCTTGAATGCGCATTGAAATGTCGTCGTCCTTCGATCGATGTCGTTTTGCCCCCTCCGTAAAAATAACAATAAACGTTTTTCTTATCGATAACTGTCCTGGCAACCAGGCCAGCCTTAAACAGTCTAGCGTATCAGCCGCTTAGTAATTGGAACTTGACGCGTCACGTGCCCGAGTCTTGTCGCGCTCCAACCTTCTCATCAACCTCGACCTCAGGCACCATCAGCGATTAACTACTGCTTGCCAGACACTGTTTCATTGATTAGTATCAAGATACCCTAAACAGCCTCTCCTGGCTGCTTCTATTTGCTCCTCTGGCCCAGAATCCGCCCTTACATCAATTCCGCCTTAATAACCGATGTATAGACAACCTTGGGTGGTGTCTAGTCCTACGTTGGTGATTTTCGTCGTATAGACGAGAACCCGGAATTAAAAAGGGCTGAAGAGAATGAAGCAAAAGCAAGCGAGGATTTAGTGTTATATGATGATGGAGTGCCGCTCTTTTCGAAGGAATCTATACGAGACATCTACCAACAGCTAACGGGAGACTTACCTTCAGGCTATAAAATAAAAATCAAAGGAGCCGACGGGGTAGTTGTTGAACTTGAACTGAAGACTGGTCAGGCAGTTGAGTCAGATGATGCTGAGTTGGAATTTTTCGTGTAGGTTCATTATGTGATTATGTTTCGTGGTGATACCCATGGCTTACATGGAGGTAGAACAAAAGCTGGCATTGAATATATGTTGCCATTACTCCTCATGCATTATCTATGTCACGATGATTTAGCTTATTGCAGTATGGTGATATACCATACCCACGTCTTGCAGAATAAACATACGAAAGAACTTATCATATCCGCAAATACACCACCCATTGTTACTGTTTCTGCATTCTTTGAGAAGCACTTAGAGGCATGGGAGTCCAGCAAAATATGCCTCTTAAGTAATTTTGGATAGGATGGCATTCCCAGCGAATTTTAAGATCGATAAAATTGTTGCATTCGCATGTGGTCGAATTGCTCAGAGTTTGGAAGACCGGTCAAGCCCGTGAACAGATATTATTAAGGGACGGGTATCGCATCAGCACGGGTTGACATGTACAATACGAAAAGTTTTGAGCAAGCGGATAGGTGTTTGAGGTATTCAGCGCTTTGCACAGGATCCTGCATACACTACCAGTAATTCTGGGCTTCTCAAAATGCACGGAATCACCACAATCAACGAACCTAAAGGTTTCCTCATGATTGCATCGGACAAGCTGCTAGTGAGAATATTTTACGGTAAGTGCGGAAACACCGAGGGCCTCTTTGCCTACATCATGCTCGACAAGAGACCGACCAACTACCTCGTCGGTTAGTAGCACTCATCCGAATTCTTATACTAAGTCATAATTAACTTGCTATTTAATCTGTTAGTTAATTAGTTAACTAAAGACTTCTCTTTGGCCAGGTTATAAGATAGATAATTAACGAGTTGAACCAAGTAATGGCACTGGGATACCGACGTGCCTCCCCTGGTTATCTCGGCCGGACATTCGAGACCGAGGTCGAACTGCGTACGGGAGCAAACACTTCGATATAGGTGCATATACCGAGTCTAAGCACCAGGCGATGCTTGAGAAGTACATGTCCGCATCTTCAGTCAATCTATGCGATATCGGAACTTATTAATACTGTCACCAATTAAGTACCCATGGATGTTACTGTTATCATTTCGCTGACACCTGGACTTCCTTACGCTTGACTAACGACTGGATCCCCTGCCTTGTGTCATCTTTCACCCAGGCTGTTGGCAGAGGATTCACGCACTGTCCACGGAAGCATGACTGCCACGATCTATCATCAGCAGGCTGGCCCAAGTTTAGGGCTGGCTCTTGAGGCGGAGCTCAGCCTCTCTAATTAAACTATTGGGATGTTAGAGTGGTTGGCTTCCGATAACTATCCCGATGAGGCATTTCCCAAGCTACTGGCACTCTGGGATACATATCCGGCACAACGCCACAAACTGTGTTGGTTGATGGTGAAAGATTAGGGAATAAAGAATACCCCTCTAATAAGTGACCATTAGCAAACCAGCATATGGCATTGCTATTGGCTGTCGATCTAGTTTCCTGTCATATGTACCTACCCCGGCTGTTGGATGGAGCTGTTGGATGTACGGTACTCACAGGTCACCTCATACCCCCCTGTAAGCTATGACGGGGAACCACACAGAGCCGTACAAAGGGCACATACCGGGTTAATCAATATGAAGTGCTTCTTACTCAGGGAATCGTCCTTTCAACGTGGGTTCCTACTCCATATTTATTTAAGGAGTTTTGACATCTCATCCAACTCTCATCGATCTTGAGCTCAAATCTCCTTGATAGAGCATTATCAAAGTACTTCCAATATACCCACTATCACGGAGCTTTGATTCCAAAAACAATGGCTACCCAACTAACGGCATTAAACCTGGCTGCTGTCAAAGAAGCATATACTTTGATCAAACCGAAGATATGGAAAACTCCAGTCTACAAATCAGCAACACTATCACATACCATCAGTAGCACCATATTTAACAAATACAAGATTGGAATCACCGGCATCCCAAAAATCAATGTATTTTTCAAGTGTGAGAACTTACAAAAGACCGGCTCGTTCAAATTTCGCGGCGCCTCCCATTTCCTCGCAAGACAGAACGATCAGGAGCTCCGAAATGGCCTGGTCACTTACAGCACTGGTAGATACTATCCCCATGCTCTCTCCTCTCAGCTGGTATGATAAGGTCTAAATTTGGCTAACGGTCATATGCAAGGCAATCATGGCATTGCGTTGGCCCAAGCGGCGGCGTATGCGTCAGAGGAGCGAGGTTTCCCCATACCTCTGACTGTCATTATGTCCAAGTCGGCAGACCAGGGCAAAATCTCGATGATCGAAAAGCTGGGGGCTACTGTATCGGCCGGCTATCCGACAATGGAGGCTTGTGCGGTACAGGCAGAAGACCTGCAGCGGAAGGCTGGGTTGACCTTGGTCCCAACGTCTGGTCACTGTCATGTTGTCCTGGGTCAGGGTACTGTCATGCTCGAGTTCCAACAGCAGGTTGCAGCCCTAGGAGAGAAACCACTAGATGCTGTCATCGTTCCCATTGCTGGAGGAGCATTGTTGGCTGGTACAGCCTTGGTATGTCAGGAAGCGAGCTCCCGCACCGATGTCTTCGGGGCAGAACCGCTTGAGGGTGGACCCTCCCTCTTCCAGGGCCGCCAAAGGGGTCGCCTCATCAATACCTTATGTCCCGACAAGTCAACCATTGCCGATGGTCTTCGTTGTCTCGTGGCCAAGTCGAACTGGGATATCCTTCGAAGCAAGACGCATGTACAGGACGTATTCCCAGTAGCTGACAGTGAGATCCGGACAGCGATGCGACTAGTTCTAGAGGGCACGAAGCAGCTTGTCGAGCCAAGTGCAGCAGTGCCACTAGCCGCCCTGCTCTTTAATAAACGTCTCCATTCCAACTTGGCTCGGAGGCACGGCCCGTTAAATGTTGGTATCATATTGAGTGGTGGAAACACAAGCGTAGAGAGGCTGCTTTCGCTCTTTACGTGATCTAGAGGGAATTTTCATCTGTCAGCTGTCTTTTTTTTTTTCCCCAATAATAATAGCACCTGTACGAACCAACATGTTGTTTTGACGGATTTTATAGTTGATTGGCTGTGATATCGTTAACTAACTAATCTATAAGGGTGACGGATAATTACACCCCCCTCCCTGCTGATATTCTCAAAGCTGTCTGGGGGTCAAAGTCACTCACGGGCGAACTGGCCACTCAGCCCCTGACAACCCCAGGCGAGCAACGAAAGCAGCCGATAGGCCGGATGCGAGAAGAGGCGCAGGCTAAATGGCCAACAACCGGCCCACCAGCTAGTTATGCAGCGAATAGTTTAGCCAGCTACCAAACCTGTCAACTGAACAGTTCAATATGATCGATTGAATATGAACTGTGGTGTGAAAATATCGCATTCGCTCTTCGGGCGACAGGGAGCGATCTGCTTCTACCCGTGAACAAAAGCAGAAGACACCAGTTACGAAACCGCTATCATACTTGATTTCCTGTTGCGCAGACGGCTTCAGGTCTCCAGGGTCTCCAGAACGATGTAACTAGTGAAGTGGCATCTAAGCTACCATCTGATACTACTCGCTGTGGATGGATCTCCGGTTCCTGCTTGCGTCCGTGGGATCTCACATCGTACCCCTGGGCTCCACGCGGTGTCAGCATGACGAGATCTCAATGCTCGCTCGCTGACCTATAATCCTACCTAATCCTCCCAAGGTTGACTACTTACTTACCTGACTGTCAGATTGCTGGAGGAAAAGCCGAAACCAATCGACAGATAGACGGTCCGGAGCCAATATATCCTTGCACAATCATACTGTTAACCACCATTGACTTGTCTATGTGGCTACGTTTTCGCCCTGCTGCTTTGGGTTGCTGGTCTCCTGCCGACGCATATGGAAAAATGCCTCACGGGAGGATCTCACTGCCATCCAACCCGTATAGACGGTATGCTTTTGCTAGTTGGGCTTATATAGAGGGCTCCAGGAGCTATCCGCATCCTTGAAAGTATGGAAACGCTACCAAGCTTGTCTGCTGTCATTCCCTGTGTTTTCAATACCTAATATCAAGTACCAGCCCCTTTTATACACCTTTCCTGATGCATACCAACCGCCAGGTACTCCCAAGCACCAATGCAAGCAGCACTACAACTCTGGCGGAAAACGCATATGGCAGTCATTCCAGAGATATCTCTGTCGATGACATCCACAAAGCCGAAGCCATACCGTCAAACTCCCTAGACAAGGCTCCCGATGGAGGTCTGGTAGCATGGACTCAGGCCGCCATGGCCCATCTAGTCGTATTCAACACCTGGGGGTTCGCAAACTCCTTCGGTATATTTCAGGCTTACTACATGGGATATCTGGGCCGATCTCGAGCAGACATAGCCTGGATAGGCTCCATCCAGATCTTCCTTATATTCATGATTGGGACCTTTTCTGGCCGTGCAATCGACGCCGGATATGGCCGAACAATTCTCGTGGCAGGCCTGTTTCTGCAGATACTAGGCGTGTTCATGACCTCGGTGTCTCAAGAATACTGGCAGATATTCCTTGCTCAGGGCGTGTGTCAGGGTATAGGAAATGGGTTAATATACACCCCAACAGTATCACTAGTCTCGACCTACTTTTCCAAAAGAAGGGCCATGGCCATGGCTATAACTTCTGGTGGAGGTGCCACCGGCGGAATTGTGTTTCCCCTTGTTGCCCAACAGCTTCTACCCAAAGTAGGATTTGCGTGGACTGTTAGAGTGATGGCATTCATCATGCTCGCCAACGCATCTATCGTCATATGTCTCATGCGTGGAAGAGTTGCCCCAAGGAAAAGTGGCCCCATAGTCGAGTGGTCGGCTTTCCGCGAATTGCCATACCTGCTGTTCTGCATTGGCTGCTTTCTTATCCTATGGTCTGTCTATTTGGCCTATTCTTATGTAGGTTGTCCCCTCAGGAAACCAAGTTCCAAATATTTGCTAACCCCTGACCTACTAGATCAGCACTTTCAGTCACGATATCATCGGAATTTCTCCCTCTACATCCCTAACCATCCTACTTATTACGAATGCCGTTGGCATCCCCGGGCGTGCTATTCCTGCTTTTGTCGCTGACCGATATACTGGGCCCCTTAGCATGTATATACCAATGTCGCTAGCAGCCGGCATTTCCCTTTATGCATGGTCCGCAGTACGTGACTTGTCTGGTCTCGTAGTATTCTCAGTCATGTACGGACTCCTCGCAGCTGCATGTCAGGGCCTTTTTATAGCCTCTTGCTCCTCCTTGACAGTCGACCTTAGCAAGATGGGCACCCGAACAGGCATGGTATTTACTATTGTCTCCTTTGCAACACTGACAGGGCCACCTTTAGCGGGGATGCTTATAGAAAAGAGGAATGGTGATTATCTTTATGCCCAAATCTTCGGCGGTACATCGTTCGTTCTAGGATCGCTGATATTGATCGCGGCAAGGTTCGCTCACACTGGGACCAACTGGAAGTGCCGTGTGTAAGCTTGGTATATATATATATCTTGATTTCTTTGAATCTGTTGAATGCATTCCTGGGCTTTGATAGCATAGGTTAAGTATCTGCATATACTCTTTTCTAGTAGTCAGCAGTAGTTAATCATTATACTGTTATCTCTTCACTGGTTAAGCCTGAAATGGGGATACAGAGACACCACAACCAAACCATAGAATATATCATCAGCACAGAATTCAGTGCGCCCACCAAACTACATATTTCTGTTTTCTAACTACTCATAGATACTTTCGAGTCGCTCCCTGGATGTTCCATCATGGATGTCTCTCCGGGGATCCTCCGACGGAGCACTTTAGTCCGTGGTTACTCACCTGTTAGCTACCCGGCCGTCATAAATATTGACGTCCGCGATATCCAAGGAATTCCATCTCTCACAGTCTCTCCCATTCTATTCCTATAAAGACGAAGAGCCGCAGGATGTTATCCTTTAAGCTTATACAATGGCTGTATAGAGAGTTCGGCCTTGACTCCGTCTACCAGACGGGGCCCGATACCTGGTTCGTGATGCTGGCGAGAACATGCCGGATGTTTGCATTTGGGGCTATCTCTCTGATCCTTGCCCTATTTATGTCGTCTCTACATTTCTCGGACCTTTGGATTGGCTTCTTTATGACGATGACGTTGGTCGGGGACGTTATCCTCTCTCTTCTTGCAGCCCTGGTGGCTGACCGTGTTGGGCGTCGGCGGATCCTCTTGCTTGGGGGTGCTTTAATGGCACTGTCCGGCACAGTGTTCGTGTTCTTCGAGAATTACTGGATCCTGCTTATGGGTGCTGTGGTTGGTGTCATCAGTGCTACTGGCGGTGATTTTGGCCCTTTTCGCTCTGTTGAAGAGTCTACGATATCCCATCTCACGACGCCAGCTACGCGAACTGATGTGCTGTCCTGGTATGTTACGACTTCAACGCTGGGTTCTGCCTTGGGGAACGAAGCTGCCGGTCATATAGCCAGTTTTTTGAAAAGACTTCAAGGCTCAAAGCGGGATATCACGAATGTGTATCATGCTATGTTTTGGATATATGTTGCAATGGGTGTACTCTCCATGATACTTGCATGTCTGATGAGTAGGAAGTGCGAATCTACCGAAGTGCAAGTGAAACCAGATACCGAAAGGCCTCGGGAGACTGAACCGCTACTTAATCCTGGAACAGCAGGAGAGGATACCCATGAGCAAAACGACAGTGACCCTATTCAAACACCTTCCGCGAACCTCCAGCAACCATCAAGACCACAATCTTGGTTGGGTAGGCTATGGCTCAAAAGCAAGATTGCGGAGATATCACAGGAGTCTCTCTCTGTGGTTATCAAACTCTGGATACTTCTCACAATTGACTCGCTGGCTGATGGAATGGTGTCCTATGCACTCACAAACTACTATCTCGTGCGTAAATTCAACCTCACTGAGTCGTATCTAGGAGACATTATGTCAATCTGTTTCCTGCTCATGGTCATATCTACCGCCTTTGCTGGACCTCTTGCGCGACGTCTAGGGCTTATTAATACCATGGTCTTCACCCATCTTCCGTCTTCTCTCGCCGTTCTGCTACTCCCGGTACCCCAGAACGTGGGCCTGACCATTGCTTTATTATTCATACGCACTGGGCTGAATAGTATGGATCAGGGACCAAGAGCCGCGTTCATTGCGGCCGTGGTAAAGTCAGGAGAACGCACAGCGGTTATGGGTATCACGGCTATGCTTAGGACGTTGGGCTCTACTATAGGACCTAGTCTTACTGGCTTTCTCGCTGACACGGACAAGTTCTGGATAGCATTTGTTGTTGCCGGGGCCTTACGCGTTGCCTACGATTTGGGGCTCTTCTACTTATTTGTTGATCTGAAAATCAATGCTCCTGAGCAGGCAAAGGACCCAGCGACAAATGATCAAATATGAAACTGGTTAATTCTCTGGTGATGAAAGGGGAGAAGGGTACTTGGCTAATATGAGGAGCAGCAGAATGGTAATGATTATTGATGATTTGCTATAGGCAATAAGCCAGATATCAGCACGGAGTAACCAATTGGCCTTGTTGGAAGTGAGAGATTGAGCGATATGGGAAGATGGGTCTGGCTCATCCTTGAGGTATTCTCCCAACGTACACTACCTCCGAATAATTCGATAGTAACTAATATACGCGGATTATAAGGTTAGAAGTCAACCCCAATAATATTTTCATAAACTACAGCGAAGACCCAAAGAGAATTGGTTAGATAATCCTGGGTGAATTTTGTGACAGATGTTATGCCGACCCAAACGTCAACCCACTGAGGATGGACATATTATTGGCACTGGATAGTTTGGAAGCCCAGAGACCAAGCTGAATTTGCGCTGGAGTCCACCAACAGATATCTAGTCCTTTGATGCCATACTAGGTCTAGTCCTGTGACAAGTTGTGCAATATTATATGAGCTAACAATTTATAGCTAATCAGCTTAGCATGGGGAAGGGGCTGGCACATCTTCAAGCAAGAGAATATTTACCCGGAAGACGACAAATACCCAGCGTATATCATGGTCAAACGAATCAATGGTTTGGGCCACTTCTGGAGACATTTACAAAGGCTGCAGGTGAGGAGAGAGTAACCATAGCAACGCAGCCGATTTACTACGTTGACAACTTGAGTAGTGAGCAACGCAATTCATTTGCTCAAATGGAGGATGATGCTGAGCTCTCCAGGGAGACTGAGGAATTTCTGTGTAGAAATGAAACTGCGCCCCCGCGATAAACCAACAGCAATACAGCTTTTGGAGGACGAATAGTTTAATGGAATTTAGATCATTATACTCAGCTACAGAGGAGGTAGCTGGCACCAGATGAAAAATAAAGGAGTGTTCTTTCATATGCGATCCGTGTTTTGTCAGTTCCCTTTCCTATGTTTTATGCCCCTCAAATTTCGCCGATCACCTCTTTCAGTATCTCTGGAAGGATCACACTTGAATCACCTTGGAATAGCCAGTCAGTTGGCTCCAGGCCCCCATTGGGGAGGTGAGTGGCATCCATATTAATCACAGCAACACGTGCCCCTCTATCTCGGCCTTCTTCTATATATAATGCAGCCGGGAATACCTGGGCACTTGTACCGATGACCAGGACTAGATCAACCGGGCCCTCATTGAGGAATTTATCTATACTGTCCAGTGTATCGTTAGGAAGCTCCTCACCGAACCATACTACCCCAGGCCGTAGAAGCCCGGTGGAGCATTTCGGGCAATGCGGGAGATCGTCTTCTGTGAGACTAGGGATGGGAACATTTGCATCTGAAATGTCCAAGTCTTCACCTCTAGAAGGGGAGATCTTCTCATCTAGGGCAGCATGGATGGCTTTGGCAGCCTGTTCACCAGTTTTATCATCCGTAGATGGATTCAGCTGCGGACCTGCCTTAGGGATTGCAAGACAAGGAACAAGCGGGTCTTGGAAATCGTTGTCTCGCGAGTAGGTACAGTACTCTGAAGCGCATTTCACGGTAAACAAAGAGCCATGAAGACGGTGGAGCTGAGACTCAGGGTGGTCAGCTCGTTCCGAGAGGCCTACAGCAGCGTTAGTATAGTTCTACAAAGTAGAAGTCAACGTCAATATCATACCGTCGACATTCTGAGTCAAAGTCCAGAATTGTGGGATCTTCCTGGCCAACGCTGCGAGGGCATAGTGTCCTCTATTGGGGTGAGCCACCAGGGACATATGCCGTCTGTAGCTGTAGAACTGCCACACGAGCCCTGGATCAACACCAAATGCCTCGGGAGTTGCCAGGTCTGGTGCCCGGTGAGAGCGCCATAACCCGCCGACCCCACGGAAGGTAGGCAGGCCGGACGCTGCAGAGAGACCGGCACCAACTAAGGCCAGGATGCGCTTTGATTTCTTGAGATGTTCACGGAAGCTGAGCAGATCAGCCTCTGGAATACCTGAAGCCATGGCGAAGCGACAAAGCAGGTGCCAGACGAAGGAATCTGGAGGTCGCTGGAGGTAGGTTAGGCTGTGCCACGCAAGGAAAGAAGAAAAAGAAGGAAGGAGCAAGACGGGGCGAATTTATGCTTCTTTTTCCTCCAGCGGGAAGGCCCCACTTGCATGCAGAGCCGCAAGCTTGGGCGTTGGCGGGCGGTGAGTGGAAGTAACGGTACGGATCGTTAGGCGTGGCGTGGTAACGGTCCAAGCGAGGACAGCGCGTGTACTGTTACTTCCACCGCGGCGGGTAAAACTACCACTGCCAAGGTCAGGTTATAAGGACACCATTCTAGTGGATATCCTGCGATTTTGCGGCAAAAATGGTTCATTTAGCTGGTAAGAGCCACTTCTGCATCCATCTATGTCCTTTTAAATGGATTAATTAAGACTTCTACGAGTTATTTTTGTAATGTTGGCTGTGGTGGAAATGATATTGTGTGTGGCATTTCTAAACAGAACAACCGGTAACAGTCCCGGACTATTACCGTTTGGGACGGTTACCTCCACGTAAATCCATCAGTTACAGCCACGGGTAACCAACTCCTAAAAGAAGCGTTGCTATTGGCCTTATGCATCATTATATGCAAGCTCTTAAAAAGTGGCTTTCAGCTCATATTTGAATAAAAATCGTGCAGCTGCTGAGGATGTTCATTAAATATCAGAATTAGAGTCAAGCATATTCGCGGTTCAAGGAGCAGGAAGCTTCATTGCAGCATATGCATGCTTCTTGTTCTCCTCTGTGACCCTGGAAACGTATTCTTGTAGATACGCTGGCACCTCTTTCACCATATTCGTCGAGCTTGGGACAGGCTCGCCCAAGGTCTGCCAGACAGGCACAATACCAGACCACACCTTCTCCCTCACCTCCATGCTATCGATATCCTGCTTCTCATCTGACACTTCACCATCACGCACCTTGCCGCTGCCAGCAACAATCTTTACACGCAGGATAGTCGTGCTCTGGAACTCGCCTGCCGTTGGGGGTGTCCGTGAATTGTCCCATCGTTTAGCCACGACGCCGTCAGTGATCAGCTTCATGGCATAGTTCTTCTCATCCTCATCCGTGACCGGCACACCATAACCATGTAGAACAACAGAGCGGTAATTGTAGCTGTGCGAGAAAGGAGAGAGGGATAGAACAAGACCATCCACGTGAGTTGCTGAGATGCAGAGAGGAAGGCCTTTATCCCCAGCCGCCCGTGCCATGTTCATCATGCGTGCACTGACATATCCGTGTATATAGCAGTCCAGAGGTTCGTCGATACCATTGGAAGGGAACTCGTAGGATCCCATTTGTCCGATCATAGGGATAATTGTAGGGAAGGGATCGTCGCCGCCAGGCACGAAAGCGACATCAAGGTGAGTTGCCGCATTGATGATGGAATGAATAGGCCCGAGATCGTAGGTCACTGGACATAGACATCAGCGCGTCATTCTATATCCAACTGTCAGATGAGAGTTTACCTCGCTTAGCGTAACGGTTGGCCGTGTTGCTAATCCCCTTGGGATACACAAGTGTCTTGCCCATTTTGATATGATTCTGACGGGTTCTATATGCTGGGGTAGTGGGCAACGGAAATTAACAAAGATAAGTTGGTCTTTCGATCTTTCGATGACTGGGAGAAGCGTTTATATAGATATGTCTGAACGTGTTGAAGGAAGGGCGTCGCCAAAAGGACGATGATTCAACAGCACGGTTAAATCGTCTCTCCATACTAATGTATCCCCAAAGCATCCTTTAGCCGTGCCCCGCCATGCCGCCTTGAACACCGTAAACCATACCTGACTCTGTCTGAAGAACCGTTCTTGGTCCCTTTCCCCCAGTCCATCCTGAACTCTCGGCCATCTCATCGCCCGGCTTTGGCATTTGGGCCGAGCCTTATCGCCTTATCGCCTTTCCGCGGCTTAACTATCTCCATCTTTAAATAAAATCCAGCCAATCAGCAGTTTTTGATTGACAAAATTTCCCCGGCCACGCTAACTCGTTTAGACAGGTTTATCCGAGGTCGGCCCTGGAGACCAATAGGAGTTGATGACTAATGGGAGATAACATTAGGCTTTTCCTGCTTAGTAATAGCCAGCCTCTGCTGGAGGAGGGAAACTTTCACTCCATCTTTCTTCCTCGCTGATAATAATCAACACGGAGTACATTATAGCTACAGCAACAAATCCCTATGAACACGCGGTAAACATATGAACAAACAATATATACCAAAATACCCCATACAATACCCAATTATACTGAAGATTTGACCTGGATTTTTGGCAGGCATGTCTTATATTCTGATGACCACTTTGCCCATGTGTTTGGCATCATATAGGTAGTCAAACGCGGCCTGCGAATCATCAAAAGTAAAGACCGTGTTATCCAGAATGGGCTTTAAATCGATTTTCTTCTCGGATAAGAAATCAGACAGGTTCTGGTGGTCTGCTTTGGAACCTACGGCGCCCCCTCTAAAACACACAAATATTGTTAGCAGTGTTTAAACATTGGAGGAATGACTATTCTAAAACGATAGCTACCTTATGGTTGCTGTCTTGGTCAAGAGGGGCGTGATTGTATCTGGGAAGCTCTTGACATCGAATCCTCCCAAGAATCCCACCACGGTAATGGATCCTCTTCGGGCCAGAGATGTAATGCTCTGTGCTATCGTCCTAGGTCCCACGGTCTCGATGACAAAATCAACTCCGCGACCATTGGTAAGGCGAAGCACTTCATTCTCCCAATCAGGGTGGGTTCGATAGTTGATAGTGTCGACTTCTCCTGGCTTGCCAAGGGCTCGCACTCGGTCTAGCTTCTCATCAGATGAAGAAGTGATGATTGGGCGAATTCCGGCCGCAAGACAGATGAGGAGGCCGAACATGCTTACTCCTCCAGTGCCTAGGAGGGAAGTTAAAAAAATGCTGCTCTTCAATGGGGCTGGATTTGATGGAAGTCCTACCTTGAAGCAGGGCAGTGCCGGTAGAGCGAGGCATTGATAACGCTCTCCATGCCGTGGTACCAGCACAGGTGATACATGCTGCCTATGGAAAGTTGGTATGTCAATATACACATTTACTACTTTGATAGTGAATGCTTTGCTTACCTCCTCCCAAGATAAGTACTTCGGCAAGTGAAATAACACATTTCTGTCGAAAACTGCATATTGGCGCAACACTCCATCAATATGTCCTCCTAACGCCGCTTTATCTTCTTCGTTGTCGTGAATATTTTTCACATCAAAGATAGGTGCAACATGGTCTCCAATCTCAAAGTCTTTAACATCTGACCCAATCGCTATAACCTCGGCGGCACAGTCGGACGCGGGGATACCTCTGTCGAGAAACTTGATGGGATATTTGCCGTGCAACATGGCTACATCTCTGTAGTTCAATGATACAGCGTGGATGCGAATCAGGACTTCTTGGGACTTAAGGGAAGAGGGGATCTTTTCTGTGATTGGCTCGAGGGTTTTGATGTCACTGCCCTTGCTGCGCCTGTAGGCTTTAGAGGTCTTTGGGGCGGACATTGTATGTTTTAGTCTCAGGATTCACCAATGTATTGTGGAACGATAGTATTATAGTATATAGCTAACGATGCTTGTTATTGCTGATGGAATGATGGTTTGAAGCTGCTGGTTACCAAACAGCGTCGGCCTTATATATCTACGTTTGGATTTATAATTGTCAAAAGGATTTCGGCATGTTCCTTCAAGTCCGAGAGAGAACCATGCATAACTAATGCATACATGCATGCTGGCGTCATTTAAGGGTATATCGGCTTCTGTAAACAAAGTTCATAGGCTGCCAGCATCTTCCGTTAAGTGTTGGGATCGTCTGCGCGTTTACTCCTCTCGTTACACGGATTTCGTAGTTACCTTAGCTGCTTTTGGCATTTAGGAGGGAAAAAAATCTATGTATCTATATACGTACCTCTATATCCGTTATTCATTAGAGAGGCCCTTGGTACAGTTCCAACAGTCCTTTCCTGCGCATACCTCCCCCACAATCCACCTCATCGCCCAACCGATCTCTCCTCCCAGCTTCTGCATCACCCTCTGGCTGGCCTTGTTCTCCTTATTAACATCCGCAAACACCCAGCCTTTCTCCCTCCCATCGATATCGTCTTCCAGCTGGAGTGCATGGATAGCATCATTGCCCATGCCCCGACGCATGATCTCTTTGGAGAGCAGGGCCGCGAGGCCTCGTCCACGGTGTTCCGGCTCAACATGTAGAACGATCATGCTCCCGTCATAGGTGAGGAAAGCCCAGCCAATAGGCATTTCTTCGACCTTGTCTACACCGTTCCCGTTTATATGAGCAACAAGGGTTTCACTCTGGCCTTTCGCAGCTACATCTGCCTCTCTGTCATCATGGTAGATAGCTACGCTGGCAGGGAATGAGGCCCGAGTGCGTTGGATGTGTGTGCGACTTAGGACCAGTCCAAAATGATGATCTTGGATCCCACGGCGGCCCTTGTTGTCATGGAATCGGTATCCCTGCGGTGGTTCGTTGTCACCAGCGTCATAATGGGTTCGGTCAAACATGTACTTCTCGCATAGATCGACACGGTTGATGTGAAAGAAAGGCTTCTGGTCTGAGCCGTCCTGTTCCCTGGGTCCCAATTGGCCGAGAAGCTCAGCCAGGCCATCGTTTATTGTCCCCATCAGTAGACCAGTCGGAGGAACAGCAGGTAGCTTCTTAACTCCGTTTGGCTGCGAGCCGGGGATGTTTCTCTCAAGGGCCCCTGGGGTGGACAAGAGTGACGGCAGCAATTTTGAGCGAACATATGCAAGCAGATTCCTGAGCTGCTCCCGAGCCTGCTTCAGTGTCCTTTCATCGGCTGTCAGGGTGGTCTGCATCGTGTCTCCAATCATCTCGTTACGCCCATCTGCCTCCAGGCTTGAGTACGCCCACATTTGCGTCTCAGGGTAGCGGAATACATCTACATATGCCACCACCCATGGTTCCTCCGGCTGTCTGTTATTCTCTGCGGCGCCTGATCCTGATCCTAACCCCCAACTTGATCCTGATTCTGGGGGAAATGAAGCTAGGACACACGCTTCTGCAGAACGTGGGAAGATGCCAAAGGATCGAATGATTCGCAGCACTGGTCCGGAGTGTGGTAGATGACGCTGCAGGCGAGGGACCAGGGTGCGAGCGGGATCCGGATGGACATGTATTGAAGCCGCCATCGTTATGTCCCTGGATCTCTAATTGAGAAAAAAAGAGAATACGATGAGAAGAAGAAATGAAGGGACAAGTAGGTGAGTAATTGTATTATAAATAGTTTCCATATATATAACTAGACCAAAACCCTTGCATAGTTACCAATCTCCGTTAGCCGTATGACAAGGTGACTCACTGGATATTCGAATAACATATATATATCCTCTATAGATTCACTGCTTCACAAAGGCCTTCCATATCGCCTACTGTGAGGCTAAAGCTGCGAATCTCTGCTGTATCTCTAGAATTGATACCTGTTGTCTTGTTCATGATCAGTCAAAACGTCGCCACGAGCCGCCATTAAGACCCGACAATTTGAAGTCGCGTGTTGAAAGAGAAAACTTGATTACATAATTACATGAGGATCTATATTTATAATTGGTCACGTTATTTAAACTTAGAATTGGCCAATAGAAATTCTAGGAATTGAAGCTCAAAGCTTTGTTTGCTTTAAAAAGTAATTGGTATCTCGCTTTTATCTGATCCTTGACTTGGAAGCTGTCAAGCAACCAACTTCTTCCAGCACACGGCCAGCAGACACCTTAGGCCCATTATGTCGACGGGAACCCGGTTATGGAGACAGTGCTCTCGAAATATCCCCTCATTACAGGCTAGAGCCCCCCAAAGCAGCGTTATCGCTGCTGCATTACGACGAAGATACAGCTCCATCTCCGCCGCAGAGCTCCAGTTTGGCCAACCACTGCACGAAACGCACCCTCACCTATTAAAAGCCGGAGAACGTCAGTTGCACCTCGGTTTAGCTGAGAATCACCATCCCGTGAGCTTTTGTTAGCAAATACTTACTCCTGATTGGTAAATGTATAGTAACTCCGGGCATTACGGCACTCGAATATGATCACCGCCGCTCGAAACTTGCCTCCAAGCTACCCAAGAACGCCGTCGCTATTGTTCGCGCTGCGGAATTGAAGTATAAGTCGAAGAACGTGTTCTACAAGTATCACCAGGATACCGATTTCTTTTATTTAACTGGTACGGAAGTCTGCTGGAATACCAGTTTTTTGATATAAGTAAATGCTGACGGTGGTGTAGGATTCAATGAGCCTGGAGCTCTAGCTATCATAGGTACGTACGAGCTGGAAGAAGATACATTGATTATTAGGCCATTGTGGTACTGATGTTTGCGATGGTAGCAAATACCGGTCAACCCGGCGAGCATACTTTCTACCTCTACGTTCGAGAAAAGGACACACGAGCAGAGCTATGGGAGGGAGCAAGGTCAGGGACACAGGCAGCCATGGATGTATTCAACGCTGACGAGGTATACATCCCGCTCGACACACAACTAGAAATATGGGTTGGCTAACCTTCGTCTAGTCTGGCGACATCGACCATCTAAAAGACTACCTACCGGAAATCCTATCTGGCGCATCAGAGATATACACTGACATCAGCGCTGGACGAGGCCGTTCGGCGTTTTCCCGCTTCATATCCAGCTTCTCTGACTCCGCGAGTTCAGCTAGTGACGCAAGAGAAGAAGCCATGGAAAAGATCAGGCCGTTGTCTCCGATAATTAACGAACTCCGCGTGTTCAAGAGTGATGCTGAGATCGCGAATATGAGACATGCAGGACGTGTGACTGGTCGAGCATTTACCGAATCTATGCGCCATGGTTTTGGCACCGAGAGTGAACTTGATGCCTTTTTGGAGTACCAGTTTCGTCGTCAGGGCGGCGATGGGACGGCGTTCGTGCCCGTCGTTGCTGGTGGATCGAATGCGCTGAGTATACATTATGTTCGGAATGATAATGTGTTACGGTACGTGCCTTGGCTGCTTGTGGTGTGAGGCATGCTGACTTTTGAGCACAGAGACGGGGAGTTAGTTCTGGTTGATGGGGGTGCGGTGAGTATATTGTATATTGACTGATCTGTTTATGAGTCTATTCTGACGCCATGCAGCAATACGCAGGATACATCTCAGACGTGACGAGAGTATGGCCGGTAAACGGCAAGTTTACTCCTGCGCAAAAAGAACTATACACCGCCGTCTTGAATGTACAGCGGTCATGTATATCTCTGTGCCGCGAGTCAGCCGGTCTATCACTCGACAAGATCCACGATATAGCTGAGCGAAGTCTTCGAGAACAACTAGACTCTATTGGTTTCAATACCTCTGGCGGTGTATGACATTCTTTCCCGCTTAGTGCCTGATCGACTATTAACATGTAGCTACAGGCCATGCGAACTCTTTTCCCTCATCATGTAGGCCATCATATCGGCCTTAGCGTGCACGACTGCGGTGGCTACTCGAGGCAAGAAATGCTGCGGAAGGGCCAGTGTATCACCATTGAACCGTAAGTTTTTCTCACACTGAGACAAAATATATTGACAAATGGATGCTGACGAGGATTCAAAGGGGTGTCTACGTACCGAATGACGAACGTTGGCCCGAGAAGTTCCGTGGCATCGGCATCAGGATAGAGGATAGCATATGTGTGGGAGACGACAACCCCATTGTCCTGTCCCCTGAAGGAGTCAAAGAGGTAAGACTTGTTGTCATCACTGTCAGATAAGGCCGCATCAACTAACAGTTCCTGGTTTAGATTGACGATATCGAGGCCCTGAGATAGAATAGAGTGTAAGAGTATATTGGCATGTTTCTTTTACTTGTATTATTTGCATGATGTCTCTACTTGTATCTATATATATACACCCTTCACCACCGAGGACAGCCACTCAATCGCGAATAAAATAGATAGATAATTATCTCTCCACCTAAAAATAACTACCATATATATTCAACGTCATAAAAAAAAAAAGAGGGAAAAAAAAAAATCGAAAAAAAGAAAATAGACCAGGCGGGATTTGAACCCACGACCTCCGCATAACAAAATGGAGTTAGTCATATCACTTCCAGGAAACGATATAAGAACGGCACGCTAACCACTGCGTCACTGGTCTGTCTAAGTGGGCAGTGGACCTCCAGATTACTGTAAGCCTAGGCAGCCTTCTTGGCAGTGCACTGTCCGATTCCCTTGCTACCTAGTGGTGCCTGCTTGCGCCGATGTACAGGGCGAGATGGAAAAGAGTGGCGGCGGCGGCAGCGGCCAGGTGGCTAACAAGAACTCATGATATGTATTGGTTTTGTTGAAAGGATCTGGTGCACTCCGTATCGCTGGCTATTTCATACATACTTTACCTCAGGCTAACAAGTACCCCCGTTATTACATCGGATCTACATACATAGCTAGGTAGGCGGTTGGTGTGCCTTTATACGCAGCGAAGGGAACACCAGCAATGCAATAAGCCTGCTCTAGAGTGATCTATACTTTCTATATTACTACCATCACCGCCATCTCCAGGATATCCCTTCGTCCTGTCTGTTGTAGAGTGTCTCTTGACTAGGGCTTAGGGTACCTGGAGTACGCTAAAGTCGTGAGGGACGGCTGCTGACTCAGCAAGAATAACGTGACCCGATCTTTGTTTAGAGCAAAACAAGACGAGGAAGACAAAGACGAACGCCGTCGACATCGCCAACCACCACAGCCAGCATCGTCGTCCCAAGGCACAGCGATGACTGCGTCCTCCTGACGGGCTCAAGAGAGCGTCCTCCGCCTCCTCCTTCGCTCTCTCCTTTGTCCCTGTTGTGTTATTGTCCTTTTTTACGTCCTTCTTTCAGTCATTTTACCCGTGTCTCCATCGCGTGTCGTCCTGAGTGAGGCTCTTTTTCTCCAGCTTCACCAGACAGAAAGAATATCAACAACAAGTTTTCGCCATTCACTCTAATCCCCGGTACTTCTCACCCCTCAGACCCGTATTGTTATTCATGGCCATTTTATTCGTACCATCTCCACACGCGTTGAATGCAATGACTACCCGAAGAGCGCCTCTGGCAAACGTTCCCAATGCTACGAACTCCCCTCACCGAGCCGTCTCCACGGCCACGGCTGCTACCATGAAGCGCACTCGCCCACCATGGGATTCTGCTGGGGCCCCTCCGCCGTTGAAGAAACAGGTGCTCGATACTGCTGACAATGCGGACGCGCGATTCTCTCAGCGGTCTTTGAACCAACAGCAGCCCCAGGCGGGAGAGTCGAAGATATTCACCCGCAGAACTAATACTCAACCCACGGCCTTCGAGAAGAAGCTGGCTGCAGTGAGAGATAAGCCAAAACAGCAGCAGAATGCGCTCAAAGTGAGCAGGAACATCAAATATTGTCCGGAGTCGGTAGAGAGTGTTCGCCAGTGGCAGAGACACTATCGAAAAGTCTTCCCTTCTTATGTCTTTTACTTTGAGAGCATTCCTGAAGAGGTCAGGAAGAAGTATGTCAGGCAGATCATGTCCCTCGGTGCTGTAAGTTGCTTAAACTTCTCCTGTTCAATCTGCCATATACTAACTCATGTGTTTAGACCGAGGAAAAGTTCTTCTCCCGGGTAGTTACCCATGTCGTCACGTCCCGGTCCATCCCTCCAGAAGTCGAATCTGAAAAGCATACGGAAGCAACCCAGTCAGCTTCTGCTGAAAATAACATGTCGGGCTCGGTCCAGACCGTAAACCCTTCGATGTTGGAGAAGGGTGTTGATGCTCAACTAGGAAAAACACGTTCGAGAACAGGTTTCGGGATGATCGAACCAGAAAGTAAGAAAGGCATGGGTGGCGGCAGTGGGGATCTTCTTCACCGTGCTCGTCAAATGAACATGAAGATATGGACCCTGGACAAGCTTCAGCGTGTCATATTTACTATGAATGATAAGGAGCTGGCACATATACTCCAGCCCAGCCGCAATGGTACTGCACCGGCGAAAAACAAGACCGAAGATGATCTCTCCTTGGCTCTTCAGCATGAGAAACTCCATGCCCCTACTGACTCTGACTCTCTGACCTTAAACAAAGGGCTGGTCCCCTTCAAGGGACCATACCTGTATATCTGGGATTACAACCGGGAAACGCGCCCTGTAGTTATTCGAGAATATCCCAAGGTTAACAAAAAACAGGACGGTGCCTGGCCACAGTTCCGCAGTGTCGAGCTAGGGAAATGCCCCTTTGTTGAAACCACCGGCAGCAGGAAAACAGAAAAGGATAGGCAAAAACAACAACAGGCAAAAGCTAATAATACCCAAACCACCCTAGTAACAAAAACAATGGCGCCTCCTGCCAGAGGGCCAAGCAAAACACCCAACCAACAACAACAGTCTAACATGACCCCTACTAATCAAGATGATACCGAGTCTGCACTCGAGGACTCTGCAGGTAGGCCGATTGAGCCTATGGAGAATACTGCCGCCACCACAACTACTACCAATGAAGGGCCACGGCCAGTCTCTAAAGGCTCAATCTCGGCTTCTTCCTTACCCTTTAAATTTGGAGGTGAAATCGCCGCTTCCGGAATTCAACCATCAAATATCACATCTGCCATTCGATCGCAGATGATATCCTCGACGGCAGCTACGCAAGGCGCTAGAGCTGCTACTAGCAAGGAAGTACACGAGCTCAAACGCAAGGTTCTGGAGAAGAGCAGTGGAATTGTCTCTACCGCCATCTCCTCATGTCACAGGGCTGATGCAGCAGCCGCTCCCCAGTCCCAGCCTGTTAGAGTGCCAATTGCCCGTGCGGCCAAGCTTAAAGCCCAAGCGAACGAAAATGGCGCCGTACAACTGACTGAACGGAACAGACGCGCCAGTGATGTAGCTCCCAAGAAACAGAGCGCACTGCGAAAACAGCAGGCTGGAAGCAAGAAGCGTGACCCTAAGCCAGGCTACTGTGAGAACTGCAGGGAGAAATTCGAGGATTACGAGGATGTATGCTTCTCTCAATTTTTCTTTTTCCATTTTAGACTGGCTGTTCTCAAGCTAACCAAAATCACAGCACATTGGGACTAGGAAACACCGCAAGTTTGCTTCGAATTCCATAAACTTCTTTGAAATAGACGCATTCATTCTTGGCCTGAATAAGGGTCATGATAGGTATCGGTAGTAGCATACCGGCAGATAAACGTTGTGTTTGCCTTGACTTGCATGGCCCTCGAAATATTTGTATTTATAACGAAGCGACTTCAGCGTAAATTCTCAAAGCACACACCTTCTGATTGCGAAGTAATTAATATACCACATACAAGTCGAATCCTTTACTCCTCGCCATCTTCATCTCATCCTTTTTGTTACCCCCTATCTATTATCCCCTGCGCTCCCAGTTGTAGAAGCTTGTCTGCCTTTCCCCTTGCCAAGTCATATCACATGACAAATGGTCTCGTGACTGTCTCTCGTCCATCCAATCACATGCTTCTCTCCCGGTAGTGACGGAACGAACAAGCTAAAAACCGAACTAACAACTCTCATATTCTCTACTCTACGCTGCATAAACCATCACGTACCAAATATAAAAGATCTGATTTTTCCCTGAAACAAGAGGAGAAGAAGGAAGAAAAAGACTCAATCTGATGGAATGGGTTTCTCTCGTTTAATTTCGCACAACAGTTTATTTTTCCATAATTGGTTCACATATACCTTGACAATATAGCTAGTTATCCCAGACCATAACTAGATACCCCCCTGATATCATAATTGAATATACACCCTCCTTCTCTCCTGTCTGTGTTGGTTACGATATATCTTCCTGCCCTCTACCTGCCCTCAACTTCCACTTCATAACAACATGGCATCTCGACTCTGCTCTCGCTTGGCATACACCCGGCCAGCCACTGTTGGCATTCGATTTGGTGGCGTCATCCGGCCCACTGCAACTACAACATCAACGTCCAAGTCCTTCCCACCTGCCGCAAAGCTAGCTGCTACAAGGCAGCAAGAACGATATAGTTCAAACTCTCCCATGGCACCTGCTCCCGGCCATGCCCGGAAGAAGGTTACCATCAAGTCATTGGAAGCCCTGTACCGAAAGGGGGAACCAATTACCATGATGACGGCGCACGATTTCCCTAGCGCTTATGTATGTGAGGCTGCGGGTATGGAGATGATCCTGATTGGAGATAGTTTGGCAATGGTTGCTCTGGGGATGAGTGACACAAGCGAGGTCACGCTTGAGGAGATGATTGTGCATTGTCGTAGTGTCTCCAGGGCAGCAGCGTCAGCCTTCGTGGTATGTATACACATATCCCTGATTTCCCTTTTTTTGCAAGAGGGTGGCTGATGATATGGTAGGTCGGTGATATGCCGATGGGCTCATACGAGATTTCGGAGGAACAGGCGGTCCAGACTGCTATCAGGCTTGTGAAAGAGGGTCGTGTCCAAGGTATCAAGATCGAAGGAGGCCAGGAAATCACGCCTACTATCAGGCGCATCGTCAAGGCGGGTATCCCTGTAGTTGCGCACGTTGGATTAACTCCACAACGACAAAATGCTCTCGGAGGGTTCAGGGTACAAGGTAAATCCATGGCCACGGCAATGAAGGTTTATGAAGACGCTCTGGCTGTCCAGGAAGCCGGCGCTTTTATGACGGTGCTTGAAGCAGTGCCTGCTGAGATTGCTTCTATCATCACGAAGAAGTTGCGTATCCCGACTATTGGTATTGGTGCCGGCAATGGATGCTCGGGTCAGGTGCTGGTGCAAATCGATATGTTGGGCAACTATCCTCCTGGAAGGTTCTTACCAAAATTCGTCAAGAAGTACGGCGACGTGTGGTCCGAGAGCTTGAGGGCCATCGAACAGTATAAGAGTGAAGTCAAGAGTAGGGAATACCCGTCGCCTGAATACTCATACCCGAGTGCAAAGGAAGTCGTTGAGGAGTTTGAGAAGGTAGTGGGGGAGAAATAGTGAGACATGGTTGCATGTTGTTCCGTCTGCAAACATTGTGTCGGCACATATTCCATCCTATACTGGCGCTTGAAGATTAATATCTTGTTTTGTTATGCGGAGCCCAGGCCGTACCGTACATACACATACCTTTAGAAAGCATTCATGTAAGTAATAGCAAAGAGTGAAAGAATACAACATACACGCAGTCAGACTTGCTCTATTTACGATTTAGAACCACCTTCCACCGCCCGCTACCTTATCATCCAAATGCCGGCGTCATGGAATATGATATAATCAATTGATCATCTGACTTGAAACACTATAAAACAATATATCCGTCAGTTAGGTTAAACGTGCAAGTTAAATTGTGAGAGCAGCTAGACATACCCTCCACAAGCCACCAATTCCCTCATCCAACCCTGGGGCAAAGACACTATTCACGTAGCAAAATACAGAGTCCGTATCCTTGCAGCCTAGCTTCTTCCTCAAGAAGCGAACGATGGTCTCGAACTTCTGAGAAGCGCTCACTTTGAACACCTTGCTCTGAAGAAGAGGAGCAGACGGCATAGGCAGGAATCGAACAGTAACTATCACATGGGGAAAACGTCAATAAGCATAAAAAGGAGAAGCAAATACGAGCTAAGTGGAATACCTTTTCTGTTATCCAGCGCTTCTATTTCTTCCATAGCCTTGTGACTTGACTTGGGAAGCACCGGCAGCACCATAGAGGTGGACATGGGCAGGTTAGCTGGGTCTCCGGTATCTGGTATAGGAGCTGTCGACCCTCTTCTGCCACTATCTTCCATACTGGATCTGCTTTGGCTAGCCCTGTCGCTGGATATATTCAGCCCTTCAGTGGTAATATGTCTTGAGGTTCGTCGTGAGGAGCCTGGAGAGGGCGACCCAAACGGGGTATGCTGCGACATCTCGGCCCTCCGGAGAAACACTTCCGGAACACCTTTCCAGATAATTAACTAACTAACTAGTTACTATGATAAGTGACTAGTTACAAAAACGAGCGGTCTTAGTGAATCGTCTTTGTGAAGTCGAATATCTAGACAACCAAGTTGTCTCTCCAGCGCTGCGTTGTCTCGAAAGCAACTTTGGGTAAAGGGTGCTTAGATAAGCTGGAAGTTAATATCAAACTTAGTTATGTAAGTCCAAAAATCACAGTTTACCGCTAACTCTAAACAGTAAAGCTTCTTACTTCATCTGGTTAAGCTCTCCACCGGCGGGTTCAAGATAAGCTTCTCTTCCGCTTCTCTTCCGCTTCCCTCTTTTTACAACCAATGTTTTTTTGCCTTCCATCAGTATAGAATTGGCAACTTTGGCGGAACAGCATACCTGATATTACCTCAAAAGTTATCTATCTACCAGGTGCAAATCAGCCGAATATGGATGAACATGGCCAAGGATATGGCGTCGACAGCCTCAAAAGCGTCCGCTAACCCCAATACCCCTGATGATTTATGTATATAAGCGTAAGTTATGTTCCCTATTCTCCTTCTATAAGAGGCCGATGGATTCCTTCTAACAGTGAATACTCCGTAAATGTTTTATTCCTATTGACGAGTAGTCTAGCAAGTGTCCTTGAGTAGCACAACTTTATCGAACTCGAGCTGAGCGCCAACCCTGCACTACGTATAGAGAGCTCCATCGATAACTAAACCCCTGCTCGGGCTCCGGACCGAAGCCAGTCAAGACAAAAAGGAAACATAGGCACGCAAATCATCGCACCGAGATCGGGAGAAGCCTCAAGTCAACACACTGCTATCTTTGTACTGAGCAACTAGGAGATCACAGCAAGAATAATAACTACCTCCTGCGTCTGGTTCCTTTCTAGTGTTACAAGCAACAGCGATTCTCGATGAAACCAAAAAAGTGCCAAGCACAATATATTAGTCATCAATCTGACTAATCTGACATCTCAGCGGGAAGAACAACAAACATCACCCACAGCCACAAGTTACAGGCAGACCAAGATACGAATAACATAACAACATCCAGCAGGACAGAGCATCTCGTTTGTCTGGCCCAGGAACCGAAGCAGGTGAAACAGACTGTGGCTGACGCTAGCAGCCAGCATTGCCCATTTGCTTCTAGAAACGCTTGAGTGAGCCAAGGCGTTGCGAGACAGGTCTTGTCCGTCTCGATCACAGTTTCAATGCTTGATTGACGGAACGAAACGCCATGGACAAGTAAATATAGATGACAGTCGAAGGCTGATAGCAGGGGCCAAGCGGATCCTTATTTTCGAGAGTTCAATGTCATGCCTGATGCTGCATACTTGCATGCCTTTAGAGAACTTTCACATTAACTACGAAATCCAAGATGCGATCTTCGAGCCCTGCGTGGCAGAAATTCTCCTAGGCTATTTTTACCGACCAGCTTTATTCGCTGTGTCATATGAGCTAGTTACTGACTGGTTGCTCCATGCGCTGGCACGAATTAAGAACGGACTAATTTAACCCTTGACCGCCGTTCCAGGTGCCCAATGCCATCCTGCCGCTGCCAGCCACGCTGACTTACAGGCCACACCACATGTTGATGCGCAGCCAACTCCCAGCTTCAAACCGGCCAGACACTCTTTGGGCTCTCGACATGGTGCTGTGGAAAATCAGTCTGTTCCTTTGAGGTGTCGCAAGTCCAGGTCGTCGCCCAGCGGTGTACGGAACAAAAAACAATCCTCCATCCCATTGCAAAGCTTGTTCATGTGTTATCAGTATCTCCGTCAAAAAAAGGCTATATATATTGAATACGAGCGAGAGGTGGTCATGGATGCCACGAGGGAAAACCAAAGGCCCTTAACCCCACAGGGGACGCGGGTTGGACGGGAAGATCCCATCCGTTCTTGATCTCTTGCGCTGTGCGAGCCTTTTATTTAACTGGCTCTCGAAGGATGCCGATTGCGACCCATCTGGTTTCTGTACTGCCAGGTACGAAGAGTATCCAGGGTAAACAGAGTATAAGGCACAATGCAAGATGATTATTTCGCGCGTAAGAGCGCACGTACGGAGCTCTCTCAGAGGGATTCAAGTAACTGGATATTCATTGTTAGGAATCTACTCGTTTAGACCGGTGGTTTAACTAGCTAACTGGCAGTTAGAACCATAGCTTATGACCGACTATCC